CTAAAACTGACCGTATGATGAAAGAAAGGAAACTAAAGCGGTTGTTTCAATTAATTTGCATGAAGGTTTTTATGGCTCTGAAACCAGGCCAAGGTTATTATTTTGCGGAGTTTTAACAAATAATGACAGGTTTCTAATATTTTGTGCCTGTAACGGCAGTTTAGGTTTTTTTTTCCTTCATTGTTGTTAGGCCGGATATGGAATCTGATAATATTATGAGTTTTCTGTCTCCAGAGTTTTTGGTCAGTTCAAGTGCTATTTTAAGGTTTGTAGCTGAACTGCATAAATGGATGCATTGTTTGTTAATCTAATTTGTTTGTGGGCTTGTCTGTGAATGTAGCACCTGTTCTGTCCAGGATTATTTGTCCATTTGTATTTATCTCCCAGTTCGGCTTATGTTGTTTCGACTCATGTTGTTGTCATTTGTGTCTTTTTGTTGCTGTGTCGGTATTAGGTCTATGTGAGGTTTAGATATTACCCAAGGAGTTATTTTATTTATTGTGAATGTTTTTGGACACATGTTTTTCTGATGTTTTGATTTGGAGTCTAAATGAATAAATAGCCGTTGATCTATTGTTGTAGAAGTGAATGTGTAAAGATGAGGAAAACAGTTCAAACAATGTAAAAAATACAATACCTCAAGTCAGAAATATAGACAGATCCTGAAGAATGCCTGAGCGTAAAACTACCGAAGCGTCGCGAAATAGCAATAAAGATGTGGACAACAGTCCAAACAATGAAAATAATGTAAATAATTACATTATCTCATCTCAAAAATATAGACAGATCCTGAAGAAGGCCGGAGCGTAAACCGACCGAAATGTCGTGAATATGGCAATATAGATGAGGACAAAACCCTGAACAATGTAAATACTTACAATACCTCATGTCAGAAATATAGACAGATGCTGAAGAAGGCAGGAACGTAAAGCGGCCGAAACGTTAATATGGCAACAAAGATGAGGACAACACTCTGAACAATGTAAATAATGTAAATACTTACAATACATCATGTCAGAAATATAGACAGATCCTGAAGATGGCCGGAGCGTAAAACGACCGAAACGTCGTGAATAAGGCAATAAATATGAGGACAACATTCCGAATAATATAAAGAAATTTAATAATTATTATACCTAATCTCAGTAATATAGACAGATCCTGAAGAAGGCCGGAACGTAAAACAGCCGAAACGTCGTGAATATGGCAATAAATATGAGGAAAACATTCCGAATAATATGGTATGCTGGCTTATTTGGGTTGGGTTGTTGGTTTAGAAAGATTAAAGGAAAATAGTAACAAAATTGACTTAGAATCAAGAAGACAAAATTGACAATTTGAGGACTCATGAAAAAGAAAGCGGGCTTGTAGTATTTGACATTCATTTGTCATAGTGAAGACGAGAGAGAGAGAGAGAGAGAGAGAGAGAGATTAAATCTGGGAAAGAGCAAACAACGCACAATGGGATCCAATCACCGATGGAAGATACGCGCTGACCGCAAAGGGGGTTTATGTTGAAAAATAAACCACATTTAAATCACATTCCATAAGAGTATCTTGGTCGGCCAATGAACTTTTCAGTCGACATTACGCGTTTGTGTAAATGTTTGCCAGAAATTGGACTGGGATGGATAGGAAAGAAAAGAATAAACATTGCTTAGAGATACAATGGATTGGAAATCGTGGAGAGCCACGATTGTCCATGTTCTATAGGGACATGGTACACAAAAAAGGAAGATACAAAGAACAGTTTCTGGTAGCCGAAAAAGTGTTTTTCAGGAAATTGATACATTTGCCTTTTGTCAATCAATAATTCTTGTTCTCTGATCGTTAAAATAAAAAAAAGCTGGTGAATTCGAAGTATTTGGCTCAGAGTGATTGGGAATATTAGCAGGATTATCACCATTCCTTGGCATTAAGTTTCGTTCTTGGAGGCGAATTCGTTTCTCATATTTTTTTGCCATCGCCATTTTGTTTATCGCTGGTGTCTTAAAAAATCAACAACTTTCTATATATACCAGCAAATGAATTTCACTTACAACCCACGCATTATGTTGCTTGGAATTTCTTTCTTCTTCGCATTCGTTTCTGCCTTTTTTTTTTCTTCTTTCATTCTACCTTATTTTTTTTTTCTTTAATTCTTTCTTGCTTTCGTTTCTTCTCTCATTTTTTTCTTGTTTTCTTTTTATTTCCTTTTTTTTTTCGCTTTCTTTTTTCTTTCATTCTATCTTGGTTACTTTATTCTTCCATTATTTCTTGCTTATTTTTTTCTCGTTCTTTCTCGCTTTCTTTTTTCTTTCATTCTATCTTGTTTACTTTTTCTTTCATTCTATCTTTCTTCCTATTTTTCATTCTTTCTTACATTTTCATTCTTTTTTGCTTTCTTTTCATCTCTCATTGTCTCTTGCTCATTTTTCTTTCATTCTTTCTTGCTTTCGTTTCTTCTTTCATGTTTTTCTTGTTTTCTTTTTTCTTCCTTTTTTTCTCGCGTTTTTTCATTCTATCTTCGTTACATTTTTCTTCCATTATTTCTTGCTTATTTTTTCTTGTTCTTTCTCGCTCTCTTTTTCCTTCATTCTATCTTGTTTACTTTTTCTTTCATTCTATCTTGCATTCTTTCTTCTTTCGTTCTATCTTGCTTTATTTTCTTCATTCTATCTTTCTTCCTTTTTTTCATTCTTTCCTACTTTTTCTTTCTTTCTTGCTTTCTTTTCATCTTCCATTCTATCTTCTTCTTTTTGTCTTTCATTATATCTTGCATTCATTTTTCTTTCATTCTTACAGTCTTTCTCTTTTGCTTTGACTTTTTCTTGCTTTCTTTTCTTCTTTCATTCTTTCTGGATATATTCGTTCTATCTTTCTATTTTCTTTCATTCTATTTCTATTTACTTTCATTCTTTCTAGCTTTCTTATTTCATTCTTTATAGCTTTCTTTTGTCTTTCATTCCATCTTACTTTCTTTTCTTTCATCTCTTCTAGATTTCTTTATCTTTCATTCTTTCTTGTGTCCTTTCTTCTTTTATACTACCTTGCTTTTTCTTCTTTCATTTTTTTTTTTCATTCTATCTTCTTTTGTTTTTTTCTTTCATTCTTTGTTGCTTTCTTTTTACTTTCATTTATTCTTTTTTTCTTTTTACTTTTTATTTCTTGCTTTTTTACTCTTTATTCTTTCTTGCTTACATTTTCTTTTCTCCTATCTTGCTTTCTTTTTCTTTCATTCTCTCCTGCTTTCTTCGTTCTTTTCTTCTTGCTTAAGTTTTTCTTTCATTCCTGCTTTTTTTCTTTATTTTGTCTTGCTTTCCATCTCCTTTCATTCTTTCTTTTTTCTTTCGTTCATTTTTCATTTCTTTTTTCTTTCATTCTTTCTTTCATTTATTTTCATTCTTTATTGATTTCATTTTTCTTTCATTCTATCTTGCATTCGGTTCTTCTTCCTGGCTTTTATTTCTTATTTCATTCTTTCTTTTTTCTTTCGTTCATTTTTCATTTCTTTTTTCTTTCATTCTTTCTTTCATTTATTTTCATTCTTTATTGATTTCATTTTTCTTTCATTCTATCTTGCATTCGGTTCTTCTTCCTGGCTTTTATTTCTTATTTCATTCTTTCTTTTTTCTTTCGTTCATTTTTCATTTCTTTTTTCTTTCATTCTTTCTTTCATTTATTTTCATTCTTTATTGATTTTTTTCTTTTTTCTTTCATTCTATCTTGCATTCGGTTCTTCTTCCTGGCTTTTATTTCTTATTTCATTCTTTCTTTTTTCTTTCGTTCATTTTTCATTTCTTTTTTCTTTCATTCTTTCTTTCATTTATTTTCATTCTTTATTGATTTCATTTTTCTTTCATTCTATCTTGCATTCGGTTCTTCTTCCTGGCTTTTTATTTTTATTTTTCTTTCTTTTTTTCTTTCGTTCATTTTTCATTTCTTTTTTTCTTTTTCTTTCTTTCATTTATTTTTTCTTTATTGATTTCATTTTTTCATTTCTATTTTGCATTTTTTTCTTTCATTCTTTCTTTCATTTTTTTTTTTCATTCTTCATTCATTTCATTTTTTTTTCTTTTCATTTCTATCATTTTGCATTCGGTTCTTCTTCCTGGCTTTTTATTTCTTCTATTTCATTCTTTCTTTTTTCTTTTCGTTCTTTTTTTCATTTCTTTTTTTTTCTTTCATTCTTTTTCTTTCATTCTTTCTTTCATTTATTTTCATTCTTTATTGATTTCATTTTTCTTTCATTCTATCTTGCATTCGGTTCTTCTTCCTGGCTTTTATTTCTTATTTCATTCTTTCTTTTTTATTTCGTTCATTTTTCATTTCTTTTTTCTTTCATTCTTTCTTTCATTTATTTTCATTCTTCATTGATTTCATTTTTCTTTCATTCTATCTTGCATTCGGTTCTTCTTCCTGGCTTTTATTTCTTATTTCATTCTTTCTTTTTTTTCTTTCGTTCATTTTTCATTTTTTTTTTTTTTTCTTTTTCTTTCATTTATTTTCATTCTTTATTGATTTTTTTTTTCTTTCATTCTATCTTGCATCTGGTTCTTCTTCCTGGCTTTTTATTTCTTATTTCATTCTTTTTTTTTTCTTTCGTTCATTTTTCATTTCTTTTTTTTTTTCATTCTTTCTTTCTTTCATTTATTTTCATTCTTTATTGATTTCATTTTTCTTTCATTCTATCTTGCATTCGGTTCTTCTTCCTGGCTTTTATTTCTTATTTCATTCTTTCTTTTTTCTTTCATTCCATCTTTCTTTTTTTCTTTCCTTATATCTCTCTTTTTTTTCTTTCATTCTTTCTTGTTTTTTTCTTTCTTCTTTCATTCTAATACTATCCTGCTTTATTTTTCTTTCATCGTTTCTTGCACACTTTTTATTTCCTTCTTTTTCGCTTTCTTTTTTTTCATTCTTTCTTTCTATTTTCTTCTTCCATTTTCCTTCCTAGATTTTTTCTTTCTTTTTTCCTCGCTTTCTTTTTTCTTTTATTCTATCTGGTTTTATTTTTTCTTTAGTCTATTTTCCTTTCTTTTTTCTTTCATTCTATTTTCCTTCTTTTTCTTTCATTCTATCTTGCTGTCTGTTTCTTTCCTTCTTTCCTGCTTTCTTTTTTTTCTTTCGGTCTTTCTTCCTTTCATGCCGTTTCTTCATCTAATTCTCTCTTTGCCAATTTCTTTTCCTTCCGTAAACAGTTTTCTTTTCCTCTATAGTTGATTTATTTATTTTTCATTCTTTTTCTTAAATAATTTTTCCCTTTATTTCCAACACTTTCATTCATTATTGCTATTTTCTTTCATTCTTATCATTTTTGTGTTATTTCTTTCACACTTTCCTTCATAAATTCATCTTATCTTTATTTTTCCGTCAAGATTTTTTTATTTTTCGTTTTTTCTTTCTTAGATTTTCTCCTTCTCTCTATTTTGCCTACATTTTTCATTACTGACAGCCATTTTCTTTCTTTCTTTCTTTCTTTCTTTCTTTCTTTTCCCTGTTCTTCTTTTCACTTTGTTTGGTTTTTGTTTCTTTCTTTCTTTCGTTTCTTTTTCTTTTTCTCTTTCTGTCACTTTTCTTTCTTTCTTTCTTCTTATATGATTCTTCGTGTCTTTCCCGTGTTTTTCTTTCTTTCTTTCTTTCTTTCTTTCTTTCTTTCTTTCTTTCTTTCTTTTAGGCTTCATTGTTGAAACGTATTTTTCTTCATTTCTTCCCTATTTCTTTCTGTAAATTTCTTCCTGACTTCCATAATTTATTTTAACACATTCAATCTCTGTTTTAGTTTCTTTCGTTTTCTTTTTCTTTCTTTCCCATATGTTTGTTTAGTTCTTTTTTTTCTTTTTTTTTTTTGACATATATTTATTTATTTCCCCTATACTTCCTTTTATTCTTCCTTCTTTCTTTCTTTCTTTCTTTCTTTCTTTGGCATATTTTTATTTATTTTCCATATGTTTCCTATCATCTTTCTTTCTTTCTTTCTTTCTTTCTTTCTTTCTTTCTTTCTTTCTTTCTTTTTTCTTTATTTCTTTATTTATTTATTTATTTATTTATGTCTTTCTTTCTTTCTTTCTTTCTTTCTTTCTTTCTTTCTTTCTTTCTTTCTTTCTTTCTTTTATGCATCCATTCAACTTCCTGCTATCCATTAAAACCATATCCCTCCTATATTTCTTTATTTTTTTCTTTCTTTTTTTCTAAATTTCTTTCTTTATTTCAAATATGCATCCATTAAATTTCCTTCTATCCATTGAAACCATACTCTTTCCATTTTTTTCTCTTGTAGGCGTATTAGTTAACGAGTTTTACCCTCGGCCTCTTATCTTGTTTGTAACCGTTTTTCTCCGGCGGCAAAACGTCCGGTCAAAAACAACCAATCAGAAAGACGGTCCAAAGTTCTGAAGCCATTGCCATGACAACTAAATGAAAAAAAAAATGTCAATAACTCTCAGAAGGACGTTGTTTCCCGGGAGAGAAACACATGTTGTTGAATTTGTTCGGTGCAAAGTCGATCGAATGCAGAAGCGGTAAAGAATTCGGTGCAGTTTTGTGGCCGGTAAAAATGGGGTAGACCCCCGGTTATTTTTGTCACTTATTATTGAAAAGAGAGAACAAATAGCCGCCGACACGTTCTTAGAGAATGAAAAATAAATATTTGTTTACAGTTTACTGGGATCTTTTTTCAGACATCTATTTATTCTGAAAATGATTAGACTGTCTGCTATCGTTTGGCGCCTTCGACGACGACCCCCCTACCCCGAACTATCTATTAGTATTTGAAGAAATGTCGCTCATTACACTAACACATATAAACCAATCTATCTATCTATTTATTTTAGCCTTTTTGAAGGCATGTCTGTTTTCGTCTAACGTTATATATATATATATATATATATATGTATTCGTCTAACACTATATATATATATATTTTTTCGTCTATCACTATATATATATATATATATATATATATATATATATATATTAGTCTGATTATCTGTCTTAAATCAACAGCTTACTCAGTTTGCACACATTTACCTGTTTTGGGTCAGTATATCTATCTATCTATCTATCTATCTATCTATCTATCTATCTATCTATCTATCTCATTCTGTTCATATCTATCTATCCATCTATCTACTGTTTATCAATATATCAGATTCTTTTCATATCTATCTATCTATCTATTTATCTATCTATCTATCTTAGTCTGAAAACATGTCTGTTTTTTTTTTAAGTCTGTCTATTTATCTATCTATCTAGCTAGCTAGCTAGCTAGCTAGCTCGCTAGATAGCTAGCTCATTCTGTTGATATCTATCTATCTATCTATCTTTATATATATATATATATATATATATATATATATACATATAATTCTGTTCATATCTATCTATCTATCTATCTATCTATCTATCTATCTATCTATCTACTGTTTATCCATATATCATATCCTGTTGATATCTATCTATCTATGTATCTCATTCTGTTGATATCTATCTATCTCTCTATCTCATTCTGTTGATATCTATCTATCTATCTATCTATCTATCTATCTATCTATCTATCTATCTATCTATCTATCTCATTCTGTTGATATCTATCTATCTATCTCATTCTGTTGATATCTATCTATCTATCTATCTATCTATCTATCTATCTATCTATCTACCTATCTCATTCTGTTGATATCTATCTATCTATCTATCTATCTATCTATCTATCTATCTATCTACCTATCTCATTCTGTTGATATCTATCTATCTATCTATCTATCTATCTATCTATCTATCTATGCAAACATACCTGTTTTCATTTAAGTCTCTCTCTCTCTCTCTCTTTCTATTTCTCTATCTATCATAAATTGATATGAGCACAAACTCAGAAACATACCAATAAAATAACGGAACCTCTCAAAATAATGTTTTCTTTTTTTAACATCTGGCCTTATTGTGTGGCACTTTTTACGAAGCAAAAAAACTTATGCGAATTTTAAAATAATTTCCTTCGCCATCTGTTGTTGTTGTTTACATCACTCATCTGCCAGAACGAAGAATGATCAGCAAATTTCCCGACGACAAAACAAGGCACTATAAGCTAGAAAAAGGCACACTCCTAACCTGAGGTTAAAAAAAATAATAATAATACTTTGAAAGTAAATCCATTGATAAAAAATGGACAACTCAATTTGTTCAAAGGACATTCAAAAACGATAGTTAGAATTAGAACACAAAAACAAAATTGAAGTTACCTTTGGGATAAATTTCGAAGTATGTAAATCAATTACTAGTGTTCAGTTGTAGATAATGCGAAGAATCAATATTCGCATCGATTATTAACGAAAGAATGAAAATGAGTGACTTTAAAAAAAAAATGGCCGTTACTAAAGGGAGATAACTGAAACAGAGTTATAAAGAAAAAGGTATGACACGAGAACATTTTCCCCGCGTGAATTAAATAAAGGGCTTTGTCCAAAATTGCAACATGTATCATCTGAAGAAGGCCGGAGTGTACAACGGACGATAATTATCAATAAATAATTGAATGACAAAATGTCAGTATTCGCGTAGCTTAGGCACGTTCCTCGTGATGAAAGAAAAGAATAAAAATGAGTGATTTAATCCCTCCCCCACAAAAAAAACTATATATATCATAGCTAAATTCAATTCTCTGAAGACGAAACATGATCTGAAATATCAAATATAAATAAATACTTTCATAAAAGAAAGATCGAGGTCGATCTGAAATATCAAATATAAATAAGTACTTTCATAAAAAACATTATTATTTTTTTTAATTTGCAACTTTTTAGTTGTTTATATATATATATATATATATATATATATATATATATATATATATGTGTGTGTGTGTGTGTGTGTGTATAACAATTCGTATATTCGTTTGGAAAAAACTTAGTTATTTTGGATTGTAATTGAAGAAGCCCATGCCCAAAGGAAAATAAGGGAAAAACAATAGTCTAGAATTTAAACTCAGTTGACCCTGACGATCCCTATAGGTGAAACCTAGGTAGGTTTACCTGGCTCTTTAGGTTCATATATATATATATATATATATATATATATATATATATATATATATATATATATATATATATCAACATCTACAACAACATCCCTGTCCACATTCACAATATAAAAATTTACTAATTGACAACACAACTATGCTACATCAAGGGAACAGCAAATTCAGGCTACAGATCCTAGAAGCAATTTATATTAAAAATTTCTACTCTGTCTACTTTGATCACAGCCAGATGGCTATAAAAGGGAACAAAAGTGTAACTTGACAGGCACCGGCTGCTCGGTCAGTGTGTTAGGTATTTCTACATCTATCTATCTATCTATCTATCTATCTATCTATCTATCTATCTATGACAGTCCCTTACTATCTATCTATCTATCTATCTATCTATGACAGTCCCTTACTATCTATCTATCTATCTATCTATCTATCTATCTATCTATCTATCTATGACTGTCCCTTACTATCTATCTATCTCTCTATGACAGTCCCTTACTATCTATCTATCTATGACAGTCCCTTACTATCTATCTATCTATCTATCTATCTATCTATCTCGGTCCATTTATATCTATGATGATAATTTATTGACAAATTTACTAATGGGATCGGTTACATTTTACATAAATGTCTCTTTACATATTTTTATTATTTATGTTTTATTCCCTCTTATTTATTTCGAGGATGTCGTCGTATTAACGCCCCCCCTCAATCTCAGTCTATGATCGTATACTTTCAATAATAATAATAATAATAATAATAATAATAATAATAATAATGGAACTTAATTCTATTCCATAGCGTCAAATCGCAAGATGTCGTTTCTTTTAATTGCTTTGCGAAAGAAAGTTCCCCATTGGTATGCTAAAAAAAGACACGGCAGGAAAACAGTAAGAACTTCTTCATTACAAATGATTGAAACGTAATTATATTATACCCACCTTCCCTACACAATTCTTTTTCGAAGTTGTCCCTCGTTTTAAGTACCTCCCTGTCCAACTTTACATTAACAGGTGTCTTCACCCTAAGGTCATGCGACACCACTATTTTTTTTCTATTTGCTCCAGTAACTCTGCCATAATTTTACCGTCTTCAGCAAGACAGTAATTATTTTTGTTAATTTACTTTTTCTTATTTTCTATACCATAGAGAATTTAGTCCGGTCCACGTATCTCCAACAACCAGCCACACGTGTGTGCATTTCAACACATTTATTCTGTCTTTAACCCTTTAAAGAGGAGCGACACTTTCGCGAACAATTCTTAATTAAAGAACTTCTTCTTTACGTGCCCCTTCAGGACGTTACCGATCATGGATCTCCACAATTTCCTTTCGTTTGTAGCTCCTAATAAAATTTGTCTCTTTGTCATTTCTCCTAAACCCTGCTTCGCCACCCATTACTCAAGCTCTCTAAGAAGATTATGCATTGTCTTCCTTTGTCCCTCTTGCTTTTAATGTGTCCTGTGAGTGTCTATTTTAAAAACCTCTATTTAATAACGAGTTTTTAACATATGATTTATTGAGTGTTTTTTTTCTTTTTATACAAATACCCGTTTTTTATTTAAAAAATAATCAATCAGGTTTCTTCATCTCCTTTTAGAAACCTGTAATTAGGGCCGGATTTTAAACACATAATTGATCAGCTTTGTCTTCTTTTTTTTTTTTTTAAATACTTAATGAATACTTTTCTTTTAACATATAGCGAAACGGATTTTTCTCCATTTTTATAAACCCATAATTAATACTGTTTTTGTTAAACATATAATTAATCGACTTTTTTCTTATTTTTTTAGAAACACGTAATTAATACTGTTTTTAAAATCATTTTTTTCTTCTTTTAGAAACCTGAATTAAATTCAGTTTTTTAACATATATTATTCATTTTTTTTCTTTTTTTAGAAACATGTAATTAATCCGTATTTTTAACATTTAGTTAACTGATTTTTTTCTTTTATGGAAACCTTTCGGGCGTTCAATTGTAGACTTAGTTTAAATCAAATTATCTGGCTTTATTTCTGAGATGAGGTATTATGTACACTATTTACATTATTCGGACTATTATCCTCATCTTTGTTGCCATATTTATTACAACATTTCGGCCTTTCAGTATCTGTCAATATTTCTGAGATGAGGTATTATGTACACTATTTACATTATTCGGACTATTGTCCTCATCTTTGTTGCCATATTTATTA